ACATTACAAAAAGATTCCATGACTGTCAAAATGAGTCAAGGTCATTTTAGTTGTGTATTTTCAATAATTCAGATAATTTAATCTAATAATTTAGTCAATGGAATCTGGAGTTAGAGAGGTCTAGAATTAATTCTGACTTTGAAGTTTCTAATGTGTGCCCTTTAAAAAGTTATTCAGTATCTAATAACCCAGCTTATCAAGGAAAAGTGAGCATAAGAGCATATAAAATGTAATGCATGTAAAAAATTTGCCAAATTGGCACATAATGTTTTCAATAAATATTAGCTATTTTAATTATTATTTTCATCACAATTGGTATGTTATTTTTCCCGATTCATGTCAAAGCATGAAAAATAAATCATTAGAGAGTCCCTTATAGAAATGTGATAAATCATTTTGCAATATTTTGACCAACTTTTAAAAGGTATTTTCCAAAATACTTTTGATGAAATTTAGAATTTTATGTAATCTACTTCAACTTCTTTTTTATTAAAAAATAAAAATTGATTTTAGTAAATCTACGTTAGGGTCTGATAATAGTGTATTTAACTTTCATTAACTAATTTATTTATTTTAACAATCTCTACAATGGCTAACCTAAATATAAAATTTTATATTATTCAATGATACACAATGTTCTGAATACAAAAATCCAAAATTAATTGATAGTTATGATATTCACGTAATAAATATTGACTAACACACCAAATATGTGTGAATGCAATTAACTACATTCCACAGAAAATAATTTGAAAACTTTAAGAAATTCTCCAACATATTTCACATTCTAGGTTTCTATCCTGACTTATTCAAATAAAGATATCAAATTTACACTCTGATTTTATTGTGTGTAAAATGCACCTCCATTATATCAAATCTAATGTTTGCAATCTCCCACTAAATGAGGTAGGCTAGTAGAGAGATGGAAAGTTTCTGCACATACCTTCTGTCCCAGAACGTCACAAATCCTTTAGTGGAAAGGCTGGAATAAAAGGTGAAATTTAAAGGCATATATCCAGAACAAGTAGAAACAATGTCTGTGATCTTCACAGACTGCCCTGTGAAGGCTTAGAATGAGGTAAGAGTGGAAAAAGTTGATTTCTCATCAATCTGTCACTGAAGGTTTGAACAGGAAATTCTCATGCATGGGCTATTTTGAAATAAATTTTTCACATTACACACCTCCAAACTACAGGAGATTTGAGCTCCTATTAAATAATCAAAGTAGACTTTGAACATGTGTCATTAACTTGTTCATTTTCAAGAACCTCTGAGAAACTGTTTTTATATTCTACAAGTCATGAAGTTTAGAGAGTTACTGCATATATAAACTTTTTTCGTTTTCAATCACAAATATTGCCAATTTAAGCCTTGTTAAGAGTGCCTCAGCGGTTTAAAAACCAATTTTAGAAGAGAGTGCTAAATTTTAAACATTACCTACGTCTTTCCTTCAAATCCATATTATGTCACTCTATTATGATAGAATGAATTACAAAACTTATGATATCATTATCAACAAGTATTTACTGATATTAGTCACTAATTATTATGAGAGATTGCTACAGTTCCAACGTACTGTACTGGCACACACATCATCATTGACAAAGTTATATTCTTGACTTCTCTGCATTAGTTCTTAAATTCCTGCATTTCATTTTATGTTTTAAGCAAATTATTTAATCTTTAGATTCACCTTGTTAAAAATCAATATACTTGGGAAGGATGAAACATTAATGAATTGTAAAATAGATCAGCATGCCAGATTGTAACACACAACAAAATTTATTTTCAGACTCATGAAATCATATTACTTCCATTTCATGCAATATAAAATTACTTCAAACTCAGGTGCTTTAATACTAAAGTGTATGCTTGCAATTATATTTTTGTGAAGATCCACACCTATGTGGCTCAAGTTCATATGAGTATAGTATTACACAGTTATGCTGACCAGAATCTGATTCTCCTACCTCATAATGAATAAAAATAAAAAATTCTGTTATATTTTGGAGGATTATTGCATGAAACAAGAGCATTATAATAATGAATACTATGAAACCAGATAATGACATTTTTCGTATAATATTACAAAGAGCTGATTATCATGAAAACTGAATACAATCGTTTCCTCTTATCCTTGTGGGAGACACTGACCCCAGTAGATGCCTGAAATCCCAGATAATACAAATTCCTGTATAAACTCTGTTTTCCCCATACATACAAACCTACAATAAAGTTTAACTTATTAGCCGGGCTTGGTGGCTCAGCCTGTAATCCTGCGCATTTGGGAGGGTGAGGTGAGTGGATTGCCTGAGCCCGCGGGTTCCAGACCCGCCTAGGCAGCGAGACATCATCTCTACAATAAATTAAAAATTCAGCCGGGCATGGTAGCACATGCCTGTAATTCCGGCTACTCGGAAGGCTGAGGCGGAAGGATCCCCAGAACCCAGCAGTTCGAGGCTGCGGTGGCCAGGAGCGGCCACTGCACTCCAGTCTGGGTGACAGAGTGAGACTCCAACTCAAAAAAAAAAAAAAAAGTTTAGCTTATTATATATTCTGCTTACACAAGAGATAAACAATAATCATAATATAAAATAATAATTATAATAACATGCCTACATCACTACTCTTGCATTTGGGGCCATTATTAAGTAAACTAAAAATGCCTTGAACACAAGCACCATCTTGGCAAGACATTTCATCTGACAACTGAGACAGCTCCTAAGTGACTAATAGACAATAGGATAGACAGTGTGAATACTCTGGCAAAGCAATGATTCATGTCCCATGTGGGACAAATGCTTACTCTCATACTACTCAGAATGTAACACAATTAAAAATCATTAATTGTTTCTAAAAATTTTTTTTTATATTTCTTGGCTGTGGTTAATCCTGGGTAGCTGAAATCACAGAAAATAAAATTGCAAATAAGGAGGGCCTACTGTAGTACATTCTTTAATATTCATATCAAATTTTGCTAACTTTAAAGATTTGCTTTATGTCTGTAACTCATCTTACACATATTATTTTTTTAATTTATGCTTTTATGTTTTTTCTTCTATATACACCATTAAAAAAACTTACTTATGTTTGAAAATTGAGTCATTTCTTGACAACTAAGGATGATCACTCCTGCCTTGACAGACTCCAATCCATCCTGGCAGTTACCGGAAGTCCAAAAGTGCCAAACAGAATAAATAGTATTCATGTAAATAATAATTTAGATCTCAAGCTGCCGCTGCCCATGGAAGACCTTGGCACCCTCCCCTCAGAGCTCTGGGTCGCCTCCCTGGTTGAAGTGCCCCACCCCACCCCAAGTCGTTGCTGCACACATAGGCCCTTGGCTCCCAACCCTCAGAGCTCCAGGCCCCCTCCTTGGTTGAAGCACCCAGACTTGCCACAAGCTGCTGCTGCCCATGGAGGTTCGTGGCTTCGCCTCTTGGAGCTCTGGGCCCCCTCCCTGGCAGAAGCGCTTCACCTGGCCCCAAGCCACCACTACCCTCAGAGGCCCTCATCTCCTGCCCCTCAGAGCTTGGGGTCCCCTCTCTGACTAAAGCACCCCTCTCTGCCCCATGCTGCCACCACCCAAGGAGCTCCAGCCTCCCTCCCTGGCTGCAGAATCCAGCACCGCCCTAATCCTCCACCACTCAGGGAGGCATGCCTGCAGCTCCCTCATGGTGGGGCACTGAGCTCCCTTGTTTGCTGTATCACCCCAACCTCAGCCACCCTGCCCACTATGCTGACCAGCAAAGCCCAGTAGTCCCAAACTCCGCCTCCCTAGACTAACCCCTGGCTACAGCAGGAACAGAATACAACTGGAACTTTGAGACCAGGTAGAGACCTGTATTGCCCCTTGAACTCCACTCAGTGAGAGGGGCATCTGTGTCTTGTTCTTATTTTAAGGAAGAA